AATAGTTTTTCACTATGCCGAAAATACAGTACGAGAAAAGAAATTTTGACCATATATATATATATATATATATAATATATATATACACACACACACACACGACTTTTTGTAACTAACAGTCAAAATGGTCAAAATCCTCAGAACAACAGCTTGGTAGACATTGAGCGAATGCGATTTTCTTCATTACCAAATCTAGAAATTCTTTTCTCGGACTGCATTTTGGGCATAGTGAAAAACAATTGTAAAAAATATGCTTTCCCGCCAAGAAAACATGGAAGATGGGAGGGGAGACATTGCTATCAAAATGGGGTACTAAACTGAGAAAAAATTGCAGAGTTTAAGATGCTACCGCTTACCCGGGACAAACACGGGTTCATCGTTTACCTGCAGCTGTTAATTGTTATTTTTTCTAGTTGCTTCGTAGTGCCTTAATGTGTGTTACTGCGTTCGATCTTGACGACGTATTTCGTCATTTTCTCTTTCGTTCTATAGAGGACAACCGTTATTACTAAGTACTTATGCTCTAAGTAGATTGATAACTAAAACATCTAGAAAATCGAAGATCTTTGGCAAATTCATGCTTCATTAGCACATTATAGCGTAATAAATTGTTCACCTTCAATCAATCCACCAATCACCACCAATTTAGACGACGAGCTGTCTAATAACATGATCGATGAAATGATTGCTGATATTATTTCTGTTATCGATGGGTTATTCCGTTTTGTACTCTCTGTGCGCAGCGGGCGAATTAGCCGATCTGAGCTTCATGGTGCGATGAAGAACATCACTGGGACGGAATTTAACAAAGAAACGATCATTTTACTGTTCGGGATGTTCGACACAGACGACACAGGTGGTCTCGATCTAGTCGAATTCAATCACCTGTACGACTTCATGAATGAGCAGATGATGACGTTCTGGAGGCTCGATGCCCGAAAGCAAGGGTGTGTGTTCTTCAAAGTTTGTGTATCGACTTTTTAAAATACAGATATATAATACTATACATAGTATTGATGAACAGGATAATAATTATGAAAGAATACATATATAAAAAAAGGTCTATAAAGGAGATGAATTTTTCAGTTCAGTCAAAAAAAAAAGAGCAAAATGTGGGCTTGTAGCCAGTTGGAAACAACACTTATGTCTCGTAAAAATCGGCTGGCTATACTACCGTTACCGTAGGCGCCGCTATTATCACTTTTACTACTTTCTCCCTGTACTGAAGACGGCTACAGAAGCATTGTAAAAGGAAATGTGGAATTTACACACTCCTTCAATTACAATCACTGATGGCTCTATAGGAGAAAACCAATGCTGTCTAGTCAATTATCGAAAATCTTGATTTTTCGCCCCCCCCTTTCCAATATATAATCAGGTGACGCGAAAACATGTTTCATCCAAAAGTGAGCGTCGCCTACTTTCGGAAACGAAGATAACCAATAATGCAGGTTTAAGAAAAACCTCATTATAAGCTAATTTTGCTCGAATTATAAAAAAAAGTAGTTCACAACTACGTGCTTGCAATGCAAATTCCGTTGCCCTGGCGCTATTGGAGAGGCCAGCTATTCATAAGAAAAGGCCTAGACTAGTGCGTGGAGTGGCTGGGGAATTGGCTCGATGACCACAGCAGAAGTACTAAGGACGCGTCAAAGAAATAAGTAAAACCAGATTTGGCGCAGACGATAGCGTGCCAGGAGAGGCGGAGAATTGAAAGTTCATCTCAAATTGATTGAGTCTATTCGACTATTAAGACGAAGATGGATTTTTGTGAACGGGTAAATGAAAAAGTTCCGTGGATTAAAAAAGCTATTGACAAAAAAATCAGTCAAAACTCCACATGCCTCTTGTGAATTTGGCTCATTTTGAGATTCGATGAAGGCAGCATGTACTGAAATGGATTTCAGACTTCTTGGTCGAAAAGAAACAGCACCATACATTTTCTGATAGATCCTATTTTCGATGAATTAGTTTTAGAATTGCAATATAGATATTTAGACAATAGTAATAACCGTACGCCGACGATGCGGAGATGATCCGTTACGGAATCAGTGATAAGTAATTTGACAAAAGCTATATACATTCGAAATAACCTCAGTGTCAGATAAATATGCTGTTCGTACTGGTGCAAACTTCTAAGCTAGAGTATTCCAACCATTTAAACTTCCAAGACAATAGAAACAAAAAACAAAAACTACTAACTTTGCTGTTCATTTAACTTCGGATCAGATCGGACGTTTTATGCTCTGTTCCGCCAAACACTCCTCACATTGTACTTTCCACCAATTTGTAGCTAGTTTCTATACGAAATTGACCATTATTCATTGGCAGCAGTCGCTTTAAGAAGCAAAATTGAAAACATCGTCAACATGACGGTACTCGATTTTTTACTTTCGATTTCCTACTCTGCATTATAGGTACATCATCTATCAAGAGCTCATGAAAGCCTTATCAATGCTGGGCTACAGAGTTGACGGTCATTGTGTGAGGGTTCTCACGCGGAAATTCGGAAGAACTGCTAGATTTCTTGAGCTGGATAGTTTCATTCGTATCTGCTGTCTGCTCAGAAAACTGACAGAGGCGTTCAAGAGGAAAGATCGAAGACGCAAGGGCGTTCTTACCCTAACCTATTACGATGTAATGCACATGTCGCTTTCGGCGTGTTTTTAACTTTCTTTTATTTACGGTCGGCAATAATAAGTGATTATGAAGTCGAACGATTTCCATCTGACTCGAGACGACGCTTACAGGATCCCGTTATTGGGCAGGTGATATGGCGCCTTTACTACGGCACATTAATGCTAGCTTAGAAAATTGACGGCACGATATAAAATTTTGTCATAATTGAACAGTTTGTTTGTACAGTAACTGAGATCGTTTTTTAGCAACCCATAATTTGCGCTTTATCAGGAGATAGATATACGTACCTAGTCATATAGAATACTGATAGCCTAGCAAAAGTTGATGAGGACAGCTAGGACAAACACATCTACTTAGTCAAAACTAATGAAGTTGTAACATTTTATATACAAAGTCTAAGTTCAGCGATTATCTATCAAACTATGCTTTTAAATTGCTTTCCGAAATACACAAGCTTTTGCATAGAATACAGGTCTGCAGGCAGTTCCCAATATTGAAATGATTTTTTATGCGGGTTGTGTGCTAATGTGTCTTTTGTTACAGAGCCTACTATCCCAACAAGCGTTGGCGGATATTCTCCATATTTTGTAATATAACGATACACTAGGAATTAACTGGTTGAGAAACTGGGTTAACAAACCGCAATAGACTTCACGCATTATATAGATGTCCATCTTGAATATTACCGCATTTACGGTTGATCCGTCTGTTTGTTTCTTTGCTATGTCTATAGTTATTCGTATTTTTGGTCAGTTGGTAATAATACAAGCCTATTAGATATATCTACTCAAATGTGGTTCTGTTCCAGGACGTAAGGCTAGGGGTCAGTTCCGGACGCGATTCACTTTGTCCTAATAATGGACGGTTTTTGTCATCTACATCGGTTTGTCCAACTGCATGTGCCCGTCAGATACGCATGTGCCATAAAGCGTTCTCCTAGTTTATATATTAATGAAGAAGTAAAATTGATTTTAAATACCATTAAGGAGACTTCTTCCTTGAAAATATGCCGCGGCTAGGGAGCGGGATGCTTCACTGGATATACAGGCTAGAGTCCTTGGTCCTAATCGCCGCGCTCCGATGGTTAGGTTTTTAGGCTGCCCTATCAAGTTCCGTGTCAGTCACATGGATTGAACTTAGATGATACCTTTGGTAGACGAAACCCTGAAAGATCAAGAGTATCACCGTAGCGGACGTTCTGGTCAAAAGCCTTTTGAATTGCAATATGCGGCAGTGTGTGAGCTAATACCACGAAATCCAGCGAAATCTTACTGGCTATCTATGTCTCCTTAAGAATTAGATGTGCGACAGCGGAAGAACTACCTGGGTAAGACGAAGCACCTCACTTGACTATTGCGTTTCATTACACTGTAACCATATTGGGACACGCTGTTAACCTTCATTTCCTCAATCCGGAGTAGAGCGAAGTCAAAAAGCAGATGAGCCATAATGAAAGAATGCTGGCAGCTTCCTTATAACATTTTTGTCCGTTCTATTTACAAGACAAAGACCGAGGAAAACATATTCTACTAACAGGTATTCAAAATGATTATGCCATTTCAAGCGGTCTCTGATTTTTTTCTTTCGAGCTTTTTTACGTGAGAACTGTGTAAATACTGACACAAAAGTGGGCGTCTAAAGAACGGCGAAAAAATAGACAGTTGTTTTTGTGAATTAATTGAGCAACTTATTTTTCGACGTTGAAGAAGTTGTGTATCGTTAGCGCAGGGCTGTATTGAGATTGCTAGAATAACGTTAATTGCTGAGTTGTACCTTTCTTCATATCAAAACTGTACAAAAGTACAAGCTTTCTATTGCTTCTTATGCAATATATGAGCACCGTACCGTATGAAACCGTCTCTAAATAGCCATTTCAACTAGTAAGTAACGTTTCAAGACGACGAAATATCGATCGCCAAAAAGCGATACCATCAGTAACAGAGATTTTGTTGCTGGTTCGTGTGCAGCTTCCGAGATGTTGGATCGATCTTTCATTTCCGGCAAAAAATCTCTATATTTCATAAAGTATCTGTGGCAAAACAAGATTAAATAGTAATAAAATGCTGGTAAACAAGCAACTAGACGACTCGCGCAGAAAGTATTTGTCATCAACAGCCCTTGCAGTGCAAACCTATTCTTTTATCATAAAATTACTAAAAACTTTTCCTTAGAACGTGACAGTTATGTTAGAAGTGATGCGCGCAGATATTAAGAGTCGGATCTATAGAAAAATCCTTGTCTCTATAGATACTTTATATCATGTAGACTAGATAATCCATCCAGACGATATCATCACCAAAAGTAGTAGATTTAAGAAATCTACTACTTTTGGTGTTTTATTCGTGCAAAAGGTTCTTTCGGGTCTCAAAGAGCATTAAATAGCACCAAAATAAAGGTGTGAATATCCTGTGACCTATATCCAAGACGTTTTTAAATTATTATTAAGAAATCAACGTGCCGCAAGCTGAGTGACACCACTGCTCTTGTGGTGTGTTAATGGTAGAGATTTTGTTGACTAGCGAAAAAGAAATATGTATATGTTTTAACGAAGTAATAAAGTGATTAATAAATTCAAACGAATAGTTAGAAAAAGAAACTTGCACGTTTTGCCTCTTGTGCACTATAGGTTAGCTACAAATCGCGTCTTTTTGAATTTGTCATTTTATGAATAATTAATGATAGTTTACAAGCCGTTAAAGTCCAAAAGTTAACGTCTAAATGAATGCAACCGGTGACCGTATGTGTGGACGTCGTGCATAGGCTTTTCTCGTCGCACATACGCCGTTTGATCAGATACAAACAAGCTGTTCATGCCATTGATTAGAGAATAGGCTTATGGTTGGAACTCCAGTCGAGGCGTTACCTCTGATATGTTTGTTGAGTCAGGATAAGCGTATGCCAAGTAAAGAGAAACGATTGAAAATTACTAGCTACGTGGTCAATCAATAAGGATATTGCACGACAATAAACCAAGCTACCTCACACGTTATGCGACGTATAGTAGAATAGGCGGAGTAGATCATATTAAGAAAAACTATGGCTGCTGGCATAAACTGTTTCCTTCAAGTGTAAACCTATGAAAGCTTTTTATTTTTTTAAATTATCTTCGAAAATCGTTTTCCTAAAGAAAAAGACAAAGCCTTTAGTTCGCCCATCATGGTATTCAAATTTGTATGCATACATGCAGCTTCATTCCTTGCTTCTGTACATCCGCATGTTGATCTTTGTATCATTTTCGGACATTTCCACCCATATAATTGAAATGCACGCGCATACATGTAGACCAAAAGTTGGACGTAGCTTGATTTTGCAGAAGTACCAGGGAAACATGTCATTATTTGATGTTAAGAACTTTCGCATTCAGCACAATGAAACAATAAGGGTCTCTTTCTTTTGCCGTACTCACGCCTGTAAACATCCTCCTCAAAGGCATTTAAAGACTGACATACGGTCTGGGTGGTAATGCGTATAGCTTTTATGCGATACGCTACGTGCTCTTAGTGCGTTTTCATGGTAATCATGTACATGCGGCCATCACTGGTTTAAACTTGTGTGTTGGCAAACGGTTATGTGCCGTTTTATGTGCTTGCTGGTAAAGTCCCAGATAAGTGCAAAGAGCCCTATCTCGGCTAGAGCTCCTAGCGGGGCAAGTCCGTGATTGAGAGGTGATTTAGAGGACTTGTACACACTGTATAGAAATAGCCAAAGGCATTAGCAATAAAAAAGAGCGCCATAGGGCATTACATTACGTACGAGTTTCTGCATTATAGTCCTCAGACACAAAGCACCTACGTCTTTACCTTTTTCGGTGTTATGTACGTCTTACCCGAATATTTACCCGAAATTATCCAGATAACACTAGTGCCAAAAACCTTTAGTAGACGAAACATGACTTTCATTCGATTGTCATGCACTTGTGGAGTCTTTCAATGTGACTTTCAAGTCTTCAAGTTAAGGACGTTATGGTATTAACGCATGCCTGGTTGATGAGTGTTATTGATATTGTTGATGAGCAACGTCTAAATGTTTTTTCCGTATACCATATATGTTTATAGTATAAGTTTACGCATAGCAGTTGCATTTAAGGTCTCTCCCAAAAAAGATGTTTTCCACCTCTGGCAGAAGCGGAAAACGTGCTTAATAAGTATCTTTGAAGCTGATGTTTAGTCAACAGTGTGAGGTCAGCGTCAGAAGCTTCTCGCATCATGTCCATCCATATCATACCAATATGTAACGCGCTGCTAGGAGTATCCAGGCCGAACGATTTCATCGCTATGGAAGAACATGTCAAACAGCCCAACCACCTGGTGTTATCCTAATTAATATTTGATGATAGATGGAAGCTGGTTGGCATAAACCCACCCAAAGGCTTGCTAAGGCCGCACAAATAGGTAATAGATGGGAACGCTGACCTTCCATCTAGAAGAGAAAGGCTTTATTTTAAGCTTAACATTTTCATATCAGACTATTGGGCTCAATTTAATTTGCTAATCACGCTAGACCAAACGAGCAGAATTCTTCTATCATTGCAGTCGGCTAAATTTGACTATGTCATTTTTTTTTCAGTAAGCAGATTTTCAAGGTTCTCATGTCAGGCCTTTCTATACGTAACGTTAGTTCGTGCTATTAACAATGGTTCATGCCTTTTTTTTTTGTTTTTTGTGTATATCTGTTTGGTATCAGAGTCGTCTTTTTTATAGAGGCGATAGCTCCATGAGAAATCGGTTGCTTTCACACGCAGTCTTGAAGATTATGCTTACTGATTTAAATGTTTCCCTTGTATGTTTTGGGTCATCGTATCTGTTCTCTAGGCATAGCTCACTTAATTGAGGTAATGTTTGTTGAGAATCGTAGCCGAAAGTCGTTGTTCTGCAAAACAGGGTTCTACGTTTAGTGGCCTTATTAGTTTCCAGAGGGCCTAGGAAAGTTTTGCATTTTTCCTTCATTCACTGGGCCCATTGCGCTGTTTTTGAGTAATCTGTATACTTTTAGTAATGCAAAATGTGTCACTACAGCTTGCTTGACTATAGTATAGGTCAGTTATCAACAAATTGACTAAGATAAAAATACTCATAAAAGTAAGAAGTGTGATTGAAACTTGGATATTAGACTAATAGAGGGGAAAACAGCCAAATAAAAATGAGAACTTAATTTTTAGTTTACCTATTTGTCTGTGTTATTGTGTTGAATTGTTCCAGCTACG